TTTTTTTTTTTTTTTTTTTTTTTTTTTTTTTTTGAAAAGAGAAAAAGGATAAAGGGACCACTAGAAAAGGCATTAATTTAAGGGTCCCACAATGCTTAATCCTTAGGGTTTTTAAAGGGTTTGGCATCATCATCCATTGCTTGCCTCTTCACCAACCTTAAATCATTGATACTTTTGTTTAAGGTTGTCGTGGGGAGTAAGGTTTAATATATCTGTCATTTTCTTTCTTTCGATTGATCTTATCAGGGTTCGTATGCACAAATAAACAAGGCTCGTATTTAAATACGAGCAGAATATCAAAGGTTGAAAAAAGTCATACCGTAAATAAAAAATGTCGGAATGAATTATAAGTAAATTGGATTCTGATAAATTAAAATTTTATTAATTATAACAAGTCGAGTTAACAATCAAAATGTTACGAAGTTATAAGATTATTATATATTCCTTTTACATTTTTTTTATTTTGTCTTTTTAATCAAATTGGAAACAACCCAACATAAATACCAAAATAAAAAATATAATAAAATGTTGAGATTTTTTTTAAAGATCAGAAAAATAGTAATTATTATTTTTTGAAAAAAAAAATAACAACAAGATATTTATTCATTTTTTTCAATAAAAAATTTTGTTCCAATAACATTTTAAAAATCAAACATAAAAAAATGTGAATATTGAAAAATATATATTTAATGACAAAAAAACAATTTTAATTCAAAATTGATAAAACAATTTGTAATTTCTGCTCAATAGTTTCAACAGTATAATTAAAATCTTTAAAAAAAAAATCAACTTTTTAAAAATTATTATTGACAAATTTTACGTAATAACTCTAATTTTTAGTGTAATTCAAAAAAAATTCAAAGTTTGTTTTTTTCCTTTTAAATTTATATATATATATATTCTGTATGTCGTGAAATAATTGGCTGACAGAACTCAGAAAAAAACTGACGTGGATAAGGAATCTCTCGAGTTGCTCACTAAACCAGACAACCAACTCCCATTTTCTCGGGTCAACTTGTGGTCGATTGGTCTAATTTTATTTTTCATTGTTCTTTTTTTTTTTTTTAATATATTAATCAAACAATATAGACTAGTTCATGATATAATAATCTCATAAATTAATTTTAAAAAAGGCCTTAAATGGTATGCGTTTTCCTCTTACAAAATGTGACCGGTAACAACCGGTGGTCAAGGAACGAGCTCAGTCAAAACGAACCCGATGGTTTTGTGGTTACCTTTAAAGTTTTTAGAGAAGAATAAAATGATTTAAATGGCGGGTTTTAAATAGAATATTGAAACTACTTTTTGTTACAAATTTGTAAATATTATGTAACATGACCCATGCTCGAGATTTGAATCATGATTCAAAATTCTGAGCATGGATCGTTACAAGCGGCATCATAACGGTACCTCTTCCAGTAAGATTTGGTTTCAAAACAAGCCGAGAAAGAAACTAGTGAGCATATAACACTTGAGTAAATGAGGGATGCGTAAATGAACTGAGACCATATATAAATGAGAGTGATCATAAGAATAAGACAACCTAAGAAATTAAAGTAAGTAATGTAACAACGGCGTGGAATAATGTCAGTGTCATCAGGTGTCGAATATTTCTCACAAAAAAAAAATTAGGTCGAATTGATACGTGTCGAACCTTCATTGGCTAACTCATTTCATGCTCTATTGGTGACTTAAGCCTGAGTGTCCACTTCGACTCGAATTGTCTTCCACCAACCACTTCTCTCTTAAATCATTTTTTTTAACCTTTATGATGATCTCTTAGCGTCAAAGCTTCGAACGATTTACTTTTTCTTTCTAAAAGCATATTATAAAATTTACCATTTTTTTAATAATTAAATCCCTATATTCTGTACTCTATTAACTCATATTTAATTTAAATCTTTAAATTTAAAATTTACCGTAACACATAAAAAAAATAACGTAATTAAATAAAAAAGAAAGAATAATTTACAAGACTATATTTTAAACTTTTTTTTTCCAATAAATCGTTACTATTTTATAATATTTTATTCAAATTACAATGACTACACGTTAATTTACTAAATTTCATCATTTATTTATACGTTAATATTAATTAATTTCATTAATATTTATTTATACATCATCATTTAATTTTTTAGAGCTCGGGATCTCTTATTTAATAGTATATATTTTGTGAGTAGGTTAACGGACTCGAGCAATAATGGCCACATCTAATAAATATTTTTATATATTTTTTTAAATATAGTATTTTTTTTTTTGGTAGGTAACATATTAAATTAGGCCTAAAAAACGTGTGTAACCAAAAAAAAAATATCATACATTTTCAAGATATTTTACAAATAATTTTCTTTAAAAAAAAATAGCAATGAAAAAAATGGCGCTGAGACGTTGGGTATAAAAACGAACCAATGGCGTCACAAATTCCTTGCAACTGCAGACCAATCAAAACTCGCTTCAATTTGGAGCTCCAGATTCGACGGCCATGGCGAAGACAAGGAGCTTATCACTTCCTCCCTTTCTCTCGGCCGTTTCAATCATTTTCTTCTATTTCTTTCTATTGGCCAATTCCGCACTCATTTCGGAGCTCCCTGGTTTCTCCGGCTCTTTCCCTTCCAAGCACTACTCCGGGTGCGGATTTTTGATTTACAGTTATTTTGATGATTTGTTTTTGTTTCTGGAGATTTTTGGCTTTGAATTTGAATGTTATCGGTGTGGATTTTGAAGGTATGTGGAGATCGACGAAAAGCACGGTAGGAATCTGTTCTACTACTTCGTTGAATCGGAGAGGAATCCGATTGAAGATCCGGTGGTTCTGTGGCTGAATGGCGGCCCTGGATGCTCTAGTTTCGATGGTTTCGTTTATGAACACGGTAGGGTTCTTGATCTTCTTCTTTGATTTCCGTTCTCTAACTGACATTTTTTAAAATTTCTCTGCTCTGTTTTGTTTGTGATTCGTCAATTCCTTTCTGTTTTCTTCTTTCTTTCCTTAAATGATTGTGCTTAGTTGAATGCATTTGAAACTGCGATTGAAACGAATACGAACCGCTTGCTGCGTATTTTGAAGTTATTACCCATTTTGATTGTTCATCCTTTTGCGTTTCGAGGCTGGAATAACTAAAATTCTTAATATTATTAAAAATCTAAATTAAATAATATTGTTTTTTTTTAAACTGATAGATATAATAAATGAGGTTTGTTATAAAATTTCCACTTATTACTTTCCAAGAGAGAGAAAAAAAGGAAATAATCTTTTGTCCAAATATGTCAATAAAGCAATTACTTTTGTCCACAAATTTTACTAATATTTTTTTTGAAGGACCTAAATGATAATTTCTAATAAATTAGAGGTAAATTTTGAAAATTTTAAAAGTATTATATATATGATAAAAAGAAAAAAAAATTCTATATTTTAAATTATTTTATATCATAAATTAAAAAATGTTAAAAAAAAAAAAACATTCACACTTCCTTATTTTATTTTTATTATTCTTTTCAATTTTGGGTATTTAGAGACGTAAATTTTTTCTATCACTCTTACTATTTTAAACTATTATTAATTTATTACGCAAAAGCTTAATAGAAAGATTACTTTATATTTAATATTTTTAAGCACTAAAAAATTTATTTTCAGTACTTAATTAATGTTAGAGATTAAAACTCTAAAAAAAAGTGTTAGTTTTTAGCTTTCTCTTAATTGTATGGCCATTTTTAAGCAACCATTTCTCTGTTTTGTTCGTCTTGTGAAGGGCCATTTAACTTTGAAGCAGCAAACACATCGGACGGCCTTCCAAAACTTCATCTTAATCCATACAGCTGGTCGAAGGTTTGATTTGATTTGATTCGATTTTTCTTCTTTTTGTAGAACAGTGGTTGAATGTCTGATCGTTAGGAACCACAGCTCTTTATAGTGATAAGATATTGTCCAATTCGAGCATAAACTCTTGTGACTTTAATTTTAAAAAAGGCCTCATACCTATAGAATTATTCCTTAATTAGGGGACGTGGGACTTGTTCGATCTCAACATTGATTTATTCAATTTTTCTTCGTTTTGTAGAACAGCTTTTGTTTGTTCACTTGGATTAAAAAATAAGCTCCCAATTGTTTGTTTTCCTGATTCAGGTGTCCAACATCATATACTTGGATTCGCCTGCTGGAGTTGGTTTATCTTATTCAAAAGATGAATCGGATTATAATACTGGTGACGTGAAGACTGCTCTTGATTCACATAGATTTCTCCTTCAGGTATTGGGTTCGTTTGGTAATGTTTATTATGTTAACATTTTGAGTCGTCTTATGATAAGATATACTGATGTGCTTTCTACATTCTTCTATTGCTTCATTGGGCAGTGGTTTAAGTTGTTCCCGCAGTTCCTGCCTAACCACTTTTACATTGCTGGAGAGTCATATGCAGGAGTATATGTGCCAACTCTTGCCACCGAAGTTGTTAAAGGTATTTCTTTTTTGGGTTTTTCGTGCTTTCTTCTTCAAAATTAACATACGAATCTTTTGTTTTTCCAGGACTTGAGACTGGTGTAAAGCCCATTCTGAACTTCAAGGTACACTATTTGGTTTATGGTTGTTTTTTTAAAAAAAATTAAGGATCCAACAAACAATAAAAACTGTATTTCACATTTGTTTGCAAGTTTATTGGCTTAATGTTTAAGAACTAAGCTAGTCTGGATTATTGTTGTCAAAAACAAGTGTGCCAAACTTTTTTTAAAGATATAAATAAGAAATGGATGATGAACCAAACATAGCATTTAACTTTTTGTTCAATTATCAATTTAGTCTCCATGGTTTAAAAAGTTTAATTATTGTTTTGGTTTGAATTTCTGAAACGTTCTTGTTGTTATCTTTATAGTTTTTTTTACATGGCACGTTTTCTTTAGACGCAGGGGAGAAATAATGAGCTAACATTTAGAATAAGATAGGTGTGGAGGTTAAATGACCTTACTCTAAGGAGATCAAGTGGGAAAGTTCATTAAAAGAGCGGGTTTAGGGATTGGAGTTTTTAAGATTGTGCACCACCTGTTTATGCACTACTGATTTTTATGAAACCTACTCGATTTTGCTCTATTTGTTTCAAGTTTAAACTCCTACATTGTTCAACCAGAATGCCTACCCATCGTATCTCTCCACCATGTCTAAATAAAACATGTCACGTATGAAAACTACTAAGATTTGGTAAAAATGAAGATATTTTAGGATTAACCAAACTATATGCATTCAAATCAAGCTAAAACGTTAGGATTAACCAAACGAGTCACTTGTTTTGCAGGGTTACTTGGTTGGAAATGGAGTTGCAGATGATGTGTTTGATGGAAATGCTCTTGTTCCATTTGCACATGGGATGGGGCTGATCTCTGATGAGCTATTTCAGGTGGGTTGATTCCTTAGTTTAAAGTGTAGCTCATTCTTTGACTAATTGCTGATCCTCTGCCTTTTCAAGGTTGGTCTTGCACCATCCTTGCAATCATATGTTATTTGACTTTCCAAACTTGACCCATATTCAGGAAGTTGAAAATACATGTAAAGGAAACTACTATGAACCCACTGACATGGCCTGTGAGGACAAGCTTGCCAGAGTTGACGAGGTGGTGAAAGCTGGTTTTGAAACTTAATCATTTATTAGAGTGAGAGAATTGGATGTTGATTCAAATCACCTAAGAGTATGTCATTTATCTCAGTTGGTTGATGGCTTAAACGTATACAACATTTTGGAACCTTGCTACCATGCCCCTGAGAAGATAAAGACCAAAAATATCGAGTTGCCGAGCAGCTTCCGATTGCTTGGCGAGACCGAGAGGCCGCTTGCTGTGAGGAAGAGGATGTTTGGTCGAGCCTGGCCTCTTAGAGCTCCTGTCAGAGCTGGCATTGTTCCAAGTTGGTCCCAACTTCTTGGTGACACCGAAGTTCCATGCACTGTAAGTTCAGTTCCTTGGTTTTTTTCGGATTTTGATGGTACCTCCAACGTGTTTGCTATAGTTTATGGTTTCTGTGCTTCGATTTATGAGAAAAGGGTAAAACCCCATTTCTTTATGGGGAACCTTCTTCAATGCCATCCTGAGCTGAACCATTACCTTCCATTTGTTTGTGCTTGTCAAAATATATTTAACTTTTCAACTTCGTTCTGGAATTTCCTTGACATTTATAGTTAGAGGCAGTGTTTACTGGTCCAAAATCATTTACTTCCAAATGCACCAAATAAATTGTTTGTTTGGGTGTTAAATTTATTTACACTTAATGCCTCCTAACATTTATGTATTGTGTAAAGAACGATGAAGTTGCAACAGCATGGTTGAACAATGAAGCAGTGAGGAAAGCAATCCATGCTGACAAGGTAAGGTTATCAGTACTCACTATATTTATATGCCCTTAATTCTTAGACCTTACTTTTTATGTTTTTATCAATGGCAATAGAGTTTGGCAGGCAACTGGGAGCTATGTACTGATAAACTTAACTTTGACCACGATGCTGGGAGCATGATCCCCTACCACAAAAACCTTACCTTGAAAGGATATCGAGCTCTTATTTTCAGGTACCATTCATTACTCTGTTATTGTTGGAGGGTACTTAATTTTTGTCTATGACCGTAGGTTTGTATTGATAAAAAGGATAGTATGATATTGTCCACTTTGAGCAGAAGCTGTCGTGATTTTGCTCTTGGTTTCCCCAAAACACCTCATGTCATTGGAAATGTATTTCTTACTTATAAACCCATGATCAACACCTTAATTAGTCGATGTGGGACTCCTCTTCCAACTGTCCTCAACATCGACATTATTGTAAATATTTTAACGTGGACATATTATCAACCATAAGAATTTAGAACAGTTTGTACATGGTTTTAATACAAATGGCACAAAATAAGTGGAGAGGCCATCAAATGAAATTGGATGTTTCCAACTATCTGGTCATAACACCACCGCAAGTGACTGTTGTGTTTAGATCTTTTGAAGCTGACTTGCATATTCGTTTTTTCTGGTAGCGGCGATCATGATATGTGTGTTCCATTCACTGGGAGCGAAGCTTGGGTTAGATCACTTGGATACAAGGTCGTCGATGAATGGAGGCCATGGACGTCGAACGAACAAGTTGTCGGGTACTTTCGTCATTCCATTTCCTTGTTTTCTGGTTTCTGATTTCTGCATCTTCATCTTGTTGTTCAATGTGTTCGTGTTTATTAACTAGATATGCAAAATATGATAAATAAGCATGTAAAAAGTTAAAAGTAATTATAGATTGGAGCTAAACGGTAATAATTTAACAGTTGAGTTACTTTTTGAATGGCAGGTACTTGCGAAGCTACGAGAACAACCTAATCTTTCTTACCATTAAGGCAAGTGATGATGTAATTTTTTTTTTTTTTTTTTTTTATAAAGATAATGTTTTTTTTTTAGTCTTTGATGATAAAATTGTACGTTGGTATTGTTGCAGGGATCTGGACATACTGTACCTGAATACAAACCACGTGAAGCTTTAGATTTTTACAGTCGATTTTTGGGTGGAGAAGCAATATGATAAGAGGTAGAGATTGTTGCAGTTGAATCCTACTACGTTGAAAATGATAAATAATGGCAACACAATATTATTAGTGCTTGCTATATGCATTATCCTATGTAGCTACTACCTATGCACTTTCAATGAAGCTATGTTAGAGCTAAGGTGATCCTATTTTTATATGACGCATTAGTCAAAATCACAAAACAAAGATCTTTTTCGTTAAACAACGCGTTTTAAATAGTCATTTGCGATTAGTTCGTCTCCGATTGAATAAGATTATTCAAAAATTATTAAGTGTGACCGTCACTATAACGGGCCAAGTCCACCGCTAGCAGATATTGTCCTATTTAGGTATTCCCTTTCGAGCTCTCCCTCAAGATTTTAAAACGTGTCGCTCGGAGAATGTTTCCACACCCTTATAAAGGAGATTTTGTTCTCCTCAACCAATTTGAGACATCACAATTCACCCCCTTAGAGGCTCAGTGTCCTTACTGGCACCCACTTCATGTCTACCCCCTTCGGGAAACAGTCTCCTCGTTAGCACATAGTCCAGTGTCTGGCTCTGATACCATTTGTAACAGCCCAAGCCCATTGCCGGCAGATATTGTCCTTTTTGGACTTTTTCTTTCGGGCTTTCCCTAAAAAACGCGTCTACTAGGGGAAGGTTTCCACACCCTTATAAATGGGGTTTTGTTCTCCTCCCAACCAATGTGGGACATTACAGTCACAACGTAATTGCTTCTCAATACGCAAAAAGTGGCCTTCAATAGAAATATTGAATCTTCCATAAGGTAATATCATGTTCATAAGAATGAACTTAGTGTACAACACTACTAATACTATGAAGGTCCCATCTAAATCCTGAAAACAAAAGTTCCCCAAATTCTTCTTCAACTCACCTAATAAGATATCACAACCCAAGGGGAACTCATATGTCGCATCTTCAATTGCAAAATATTAAGCATACTCAGACAACATATCTGTAAGTAACATATCTTCCTGCAGTCTCACTTGGTCTGATGATCTTCACGACTTGTCCACGCTTCAGCCCGTAATATCTTGCAACTGGGTCGGTCACCTGTATGCGTGGTAGCTAACACAAAGTATGGAAAAATCATATAAGATTCTTATTCATTTTGCAACAGAAATGCAAACGCATATCAACACTAACGAATAGATAGTAGACAATATGGTACGGCCCGACAAACGCCTCTATAGTTCGCATTGTGATTAGTATACAATGCGCGCATGGAGTAATGCCCCAATACTTGGTTACTAAAAAGAACAAAAAAGACAACATAAAGATAGTTCTCTAGAAGTGGTAAATAGGGCCAAACCGAAAAATAAAACACTGTCGAGAATTCTTCGTTGCTAAGAAAACTACATGGAGCACATGCACACGACAAGCTACAAAAATACGGGTTGCAAGTCGCAGCATACTAGTGACCCTAATGGAACACTACATGGAGCACATGCACACGACAAGCTACAAAAATACGGGTTGCAAGTCGCAGCATGCTAGTGACCCCTAATGGAACACTACATGGAGCACATGCACACGACAAGCTACAAAAATACGGGTTGCAAGTCGCAGCATGCTAGTGACCTCTAATGGAACACTACATGGAGCACATGCACACGGCAAGCTACAAAAAAACGAGTTGCAAGTCGCAGCATGCTAGTGACCCCTAATGGAACACTACATGGAGCACATGCACACGACAAGCTACAAAAATACGGGTTGCAAGTCGCAGCATGCTAGTGACCCCTAATGGAACACTACATGGAGCACATGCACACGACAAGCTACAAAAATACGGGTTGCAAGTCGCAGCATGCTAGTGACCCCTAATGGAACACGAGAAAAAGCAAAATTCCACTAAATAAGATTGGGCAATTTGAAGATAGAACCACGAAGAAATCGAGTCGTTAGTCACTCGTTGAGATAAGATTGGAGGAGTTCAATTGATGAATTCACCTTATCCCTAGTTTCTTGCTACAGACATGGGAACCAAAGTGGTATCGAGAATGCGTGAGCATATCACGTTTCAATATAGATCTCGAGATGCATTCTCACAATGTTATATTTTCTGAAGAACTAAAGCTAACCTGTGTTTCTTTCACAGTATATCTCTCCAGTAGTGTTTTTTTCTCTTCATTAGTAAGTAACTGGTGCTCGGGAACAAGAACGTGATCTTTGACATTAACAAGCAATTCCGCTTCCTGCATCCACAAATAAAGAGAAGAACAAGAACAAAAATTTTATATTTTAGGTGAACTAAGAAAAATAAGAGCAATTAAACAACTGCCTTGGCCATAAAATATTTTCACCTGGAAAACTTCCAAGTGGAATTTGGAAGATATTTCACTTATACAGGTACGAGCGAAAGGGGTCAAATTCTGTTGAACGACCAATATCGCTCTAAAAACATTCTCCGTTTTCATGCGGTTCGTATATGTTTTCATTGTCTTGACACCAACCTTCTGTTCTTCCGGGAAGAAAACGTATATCTATACAGAAAAGAGTCACGATACGAGGACGTAAACAAATAGGAGAATTTAATGAGAAACTCGTATCTCCTGTAACTTAACTTTAATAACTATGAAAACTACTAATCAAATATTCACTTTTTTGAGACGATACCTGATCAGAGCTATCATTTCTCTTAGCTTTATTAATAACAACATCTTCTCTTTTCATGCTTTCACCATATTTATGCTTAAATTGCTCTCTTGACATGTCGATCTCAAAGTCTCCAACAAAATAACCTCGGTCTTTTAGCATTTGTAGAACAGTTTTTCGAATTCTGAAAAGCCTGGTGATTTCCTCCTCTGATAGCACCATCTTGTTTGTGGCTAATTCATTGTCAAACAATTCAATACTCAGTAACTATACTCCAAATAGGTATGCAAAGAATATATAATGCAAATTCTAAATGAGGAAGAATTCATTTATATAAACATCAATCTGATTGATTATGTTCCATAATCTCAAAACTAATACAACACAAAAGTCAAAAAAGGATGATAGGTTCAAGGTTTGATGCAAGCTATTGCTCCTTTCTTTCATCCGACAAGTTGTAATTTGAGTTTCTCTAGTTAGTAAAAAGACATAGATAGATATTGAGAACATACCAGTAACAACGATAAATAGGTGCAAGCCGCTAGGAGTGACACGGCAGCAGAAAGCACGGAAGAAAGACGGCGGCGACGGCAGTGACACTGAGCTGCTAAAAAGGAGGAGGAGCCGGCACGGAAGAAAGACAGCGGCGACGGCGGTGAAACTGAGCTGCTAAAAAGGAAGAGGAACCGGCGTGAAGAAGAAGAAGATGAGCGACAAAAGGAGGAGGAACCGGCGCGAAGAAGGGTTTAGGGCTTTCTGTTTAATTTATTCTTATTTTATCCTTCCTGATTTGCATTTTTTAAATAATATGTTTCCATTACTAAACAAAATTTATAAATTATTTTTAAAAATACTATCTTTCTTTCAAAAAATTTAATATTAAAAATCTAAAGTTTGGAATGTTTATTAAAAAATAATAATAATAACAATGTTCTACCCTTTTGAATTTTTTTTTTTAGTTTAAAAAAAAAATACTTATCCACTCAATTCCCTTAAACCCGTCAAAGTTTAACCCACATGCCGATTCTCCTATACAATTATCGTATGCCACGCGTCATTAAAAATTAAACTACCATTTTAAACTAGTTGACAAGACAAGGCCCCGACACCAGAGTTCTAAATTGGGATGTTTATTTTGTTCATTCCAATAGGTCTTAGGATCCCACGAGGACCGGACACTAGTCGAGTGAGAAATTTATTATTTCAATGGAAAATGTTATTATTATCATTAGTTTGAAGTTAATTAATGAAGTTCCAAAATCGGGGCAAGAGACGGTTTTGAAGACGTTAAAAAGGACTGATCTGTAAATTTATTGGATATTTGAAAATAGGGGAAGTTCAAATAATAACCTTAACCCAACTTTGGAGCATTCAAAATTTTCTCATCATAAACCCTAAATGAACAGAGGAAAGACATTGAACGTTAGGCGTAAACTTGAAGCAACCTGCCAAAATACATCCATTCCTGAAGGTTCCAACAAGCGCACACAGGCAGCTTCTTGGCCAAAAGAGCTAACAAGTCTGAGCTCCATCCAATCCAAACTGATTCAGTTCCATTCCATGTTTTTCTTAAATGGAGTGTGCCATAAGGATGTAAGGTTCTGTAGGAAAACTCCATTAACCACTTTCAAAACTGTGCTTTGCTTTCTATTCAAACTCAATGACAGTACCAGACGCCTTAACGATGCACCGAGGCTAGGGGAGCAAGCCAAAAAAACAAAAAAAAAACAAAGAAACAATATGAATGGACCATACTTGTGAAATCCTACATCGGTTGGGGAGGAGAACGAAACATTCTTTATAAGGGTGTGAAAACCTCTCTCTAACAAACACGTTTTAAAGACTTTGAAGGGAAGCCGAAAGGAAGAACTAAAAAAAGACAATATCTGCTATCGTTGGACTTGGGCAGGAAGAACTCAAAGAGGACAATATCTGCTCTCGCTGGACTTGGGCTATTACAATACTTGTCTATGTACATTTTGTCAAGTGGTTGGGCGTAAATCAGTCCCAGGCAACTGCTTTTGTTTTACCTGACCAGACATATCAGTTTATTGTTGGTTCTAACAATTCAACTCAAACCGACCGACTACCGAGGCCCTTTGGCATTGAATATGCCATTGCATAAGAAAACTTTGCATCTTAAAGTGAAATAGGAGACGTACTAATTAATACACACACTAATTCATCCATCTCAGATTATTGGTCTTCCAGCAACCCTTACTTGAAGAGAAACCTAAAAAAAAAGCAGCTCTATAATCAACCATTCTGAGCTGCTTACCCAATAATCTTAATTAGCACACATCCTTCTGTAAGGACTAAAAATGAATTGCTTAGGAAAGAATGTGTTGTTGAAGTAATGCCCAAAGAAAAGGCAAGGTAATGAACGGAATGGATGGTGTCTAAAATTGAGCGTCTACAGACACATCGAACATGACGCACAAAAGGAAGGTTTCGAAACTTGTTCGACTTTCTTCTTGGATAACCATGTTTGTGAGCATGCATCCTAACATATAACTCAACTAACCTTACAAAATTACTGTCTTACAAATGACAATCACCTCTTTAACTCCATAAACTTACCACTGAAAGTCATACACCTTCTTTCCAACTAAAACCTCTAATAACATTATGACAAATAGTATTGGCTGTACTATGAGGGGAGAACCAACCAATAACCGAAGGAAGGAATCAACCAAGCTCCAAGTACAGCCCCATGATGGTGAAACCATGGAGAAAAAGACCATCACAAAGTTCTGGAACAAGGGCAGTGGATGAGCATGTAATCAAGATCTTCAACATTTTCCACAGGAAAGGCCACACAACAATTAAGCAAATGGAAAAGGATTCTTCATGATATCAGGACTGTCTGTCAAAAGTATAGATTTTACAGTCAAAATTCCAGAATTTGAAGTCCATGGGATGTTTGTGTTCCTAATCCACCGCTGTGTCTTTTAGGAATAAGCTTTGCTCAAGCTCAAAAATAATTCGAATGTAAAGTTCTCCAAGTGTTGAAGGTCACAACAAAATATAAGGCCCTATCTATCCATTCGAATGTAAAACTATCCACCAATTTCAATAGATTAACTCATTCTAAGGTTTTCTTACCCCTCAGGAGTTTCTAGATTGGTTATTCGAATACAAAAGGCAACAGGAGTTTCTAGATTGAACTTTATCACCATTGGAAAAACTACCAAGAACCAACAAGATGAACATTATTACACTCATATCTTCAAATCCAAACTTCAAGCACCATAGACCCACGCATCTTGAAGTGGGTGTTGGTGATTGAATTCGAGCCAGAAAGATGAGGAAGCAAGGCTATATTGCCCACCCAAAAATCTCCCCAAAATCCAACCTTGGAGCCAGAGCAACCCTAGAGAAAAAAATATCTAGCAACCCTAGAGAAAAAAAATATCTATGGGTATACTGACCTTGGGCGTTAATCTCCAAGAACATTTAGTAACTCCATGATAATCTGATAAATAACCAACCAACGAATCTTTCATGTATCTGCTAGGAATGATCCAACACTGAAAAGTCTGATTCTAGGGGAATCTCCCATACCATTTCGAATCTACATGTATACCTGTTTAAATTATTCATTCAACAAGATCTCCAAAGTTTTATAAAGAAATAAAATCCAACTACCAACGTGCCCATATCAAGTCTTACAAGACTTCTCTAAGGGATGAACATGGAGAAAGATCTCCAACTTACTCTGACAGTAGCTCATTTGGCATCAAGAAGCTTTTAGATTAATACCTAGATAGGATGTTTTAGGCTTACAAACATCAGGACTCTTGACTATCCCCTAGATCATTGACAAACAAATAGTGGTTCAATACTTCTAACATTTTTTTTTCCTTTTCATTGTAATGAATTTTGGGTATTTTTGTTGGGCTCTTCGGGAAGAAGAGAGCAGTGACACCAATGGAAGGAACCCAATTCTTTTCATATTCTAACAATTGCTTGCCAATTTCTTATACATTCTCCAAATGTTTACATCCACTGTAACAAAGAGGTACAGAAATCCGAATACAAAAATATACCATCAAACAAGACGACAGAACAACTAGAACATAGAAGCATCGAAACGACGCAATTAGACGATAATCTTTCGCATAGACAACAAGTCGTCCACCAAATGCACCATCTCAAGGCACAAATTATTAAACAGCCAAATAAGCCATATAACAAAGATCCAGTGTTCCAAAAACGAGTAAAAAATTAAGGAATGTCCCAAGGCTTGGGCTCGGGAACTGCAACGACCATACCTTGAAGTTCGGGGGTGAGGATAACCTGGCAGCCAAGCCTTGAGTGCTTGTTCAAAGCCCTGACCCTGGAGTTTCTCTTGAGCACATACTCCTCGTCGTAGGACCGCGGCGGGAGCTTCTCGAGCCACTCCTGAGCAATACTAACCTCGCATTCCGCCGAACAGGCATCAATGTTTTCCAATCGATGGGAATCGGGGTCGATCAGGCCCCGATTCGCAAGCGCCTTAAGAAGAGTCTGACCCGTTAATCCAACGACCTCTTTCTTCGTGCCCTCCGGATCAATTGCGAACAATTTGACGATTCGATCTGATACCTTTTTAGATGAGGACGATGAGGATTCCGTCGAGGCAGCAGCGGACGCCGACCATCTTGAGAAAATGGATTTGGAGCAGCTGATCGCCGGCAGACGGTGGATTTGGCGGAGCCTGTGTAGGTTTACGACCGCCATTTCTGAGTAATTTAGATGAGAGGTAACACTGATGAATGACTGACAAATATAAAAAGCTTCTATGGAAGTATTTTCACTTCCTATTTTGAGATGTATTTAATTTTAATCCCATCTTTTTATTTTTATACCATCACTAAATAAACAATAAATGAACCAAAAATACATCCGAGCAATCTCGAGTATAGAATGACTAAAAAAGACTCCAGAAAATTGAAAATCACTATTCATACCAAGAACGTGCACATTTTTTTCCCTGGTAACTCAATTATAAGAACTTCATAGTTAAACGTATATTTCTTAGAGCAATTTTATGTTGGATAACGTCTTGGGAAATTTACTACGATGGGCAGAGCACACACAAAAGACTCGTGTAACACTCTAGCAAACCCATGATTAATGTAAACTTCTTAGTATATTTTATATATCTTTATTTGGCTCGGGTCAACTCAAAAATTTTGTCCCATGAACCCAAAACTGAACCAAGTCAGTTTGAGTTTAGAAAAATGAACCTAAACCAACCTTAAAACTAATCCAACCCAACCCAATCAAAGTTTAGGTTGGGTTGGTCCGGGTTGTACACCCCTATTCGTATTTGTTTTGTGGGGATGGTTTTTAAGACTTGTGTTCGTTTATGGGGATAGTTTTTACTCTTAGAAGCAGGAGTAAATAATCCGACCGCAGGAATGTCGGGATCATCAGATTTCGAATATATTATTACAAATAAACCATGGGAAGAAAGGAAATAGGATAAAAACATATAGTTCTACTAATTAAAATTTAATTTTGGTGAGAATAATTTATAAAATTTGACAAAATTTTAGAGACCAAATTAAAATTTTTAAAGAAATAAAATTAAAATCATATGAATTTTTTTATTTTCTCGAGACTTGAATTGAATTAGTTCCGTCAATTCACTCCGTTACTAAACCGTTAGACAAGCGAAATTACAATAATACCCCCATAGACATGAAATGAAAGAGGAAAACCCTAATTCCTGCTTTGTCCATCTGCTATATAAGAAGTTCATCGTTACCTCTTCGAGCAATAGTTTCTTCAGCCTCCCTTACGTTTCGAAGGTTCTTCCAAAATAATTTGTGTTCATTCAATGATTTTCTCTTGCTTCGTTTTTTGTTATATCAACGTATGAAGATTTCGCTGTGGACAAAATCAAATCGAAAAGCAAGTTCAGCTTCTTGACTGGATCGTTCGATCGATCCAGCCAAAATTTTACTCAAAACCTTGCGACATTGAATTCTCCAGCATCACTCGTCTGAGACTCTTGTTTCTGGATTCTCAGGCCCTTTAATTGCTGGTACACTTTCAATTTTCACCGATTCTTCTGTTTTTTCTTGGTACAAATCGTTCGGTTTCTTCGTTGATTTTTGTTTTAGAAGTCTGGTTTGATTGGAGTTGGATAAAGCAAACGCACTCTGTCCTAGAACTGATATTGATCAACTCAATGTTCTGTGGCAATTTCTTCGTTTGCGAAATGAAAGTGATTCTTCCGTTTAACTCGCCGGGATGATCTTTCTTGTTTAATGGTCATTGTTGGCACACGGTTGGCTCGCATATTCTCTTGATGCTACTAAGTTTTCCAACCATGAATCTAATGCGTAACACGAAGCGTCATTCCATGGTTCATAAGTTCCGATTCTGTTGCTCATCTTTCCAGGATGAATTGATCGGCTGATTTTGAAGAAATCAGAGTTTTGATTTTTATTACTTAGAATCGCTACTACTATTGGTTTTCAAGTTAGGAAGACCAGTCTCTAAACCCTGAACAAATCATTTAAAATCATAACTCCATGAAAACCTTTAATTTCGATCTCCTTGAAAACAGTTAAAATCCCGGTTAGTTGAATACATAATCACTTCAATGAAAAGTTTAGATTATTGTTTGAGCCGAGTCCATTTGGTTTTTTAATCTTTCAACTTTAAAAATTATCTATACTTTTCGAAATCCTTAATTTTCATTTTGAAAGTTTCATCTATTAGACAAATACCGATCCAGAGTTTGGGACCCTTCAATTCAAGTGACAATAATACAAAATTATCTAAAAAATAAATAATACTATGAAATTAAACACGTTGAATGCAGTAATTATCTTTCAAAGTTATTAACTTCAATTCCCACATAAAATTGTTACACGGACAACAACCTTCTAGAGCAACATTGTAGTTTATTAATTTTTTTGCATCCCAAGTGATATTTAAAAAAAAGTATTTGATATAAAATTAAATTTAAGGTCTATTGCATTAATAAAATTTTAAATTTTTTTTTTATTATATGTTAGACCTATGAAGATGAAAATTGAAAAAATTTATTAGATAAAAGTGGAAGTTTTAAAATTTGAAATTTATATCTTTTAGTGATTAAGAATTATACCGTATCATTAGTATAATTTTAGTCGGGATTAGTTTTGAGATTTCTCAATGAAGATAGTATTTATTAATTATAAATTAATGACTGAGACTCCTAAGTCTTAGTTATTTTTTACTATGCCTACTCTTTTTTTTGGAGTTATTTGTAAAACATTTGAATTTTCTATTTACATGATTAAGTTAGTGGATGACTTTGGTATTATATTAGATAACATAACTCTTCACAATGGTATGATATTGTCTACTATAGTTTTGCTTTGAACTTCCTAAAAGGCCTCATCTCAACGAATAGTATTCCTTGATTATAAACGAATAGTATTCCTTGATTGATCATTCCCTAAATTAGCCGATGTGAGACTTTCATCCAAGAGAAGGTAAGAAAAAATTATATACGCTATAAAATATCGATACTATACCACAAGATATTATCAAGATATTAGATTATTAAAGTTTAGACATGAGGCATCCTCTTCCACCTAAAATGGACAACAGTGTGGCATATAATGGAAAGAAACGATATTAGATTATTAAAGTTTAGACATGAGACATCCTCTTCTACCTAAAATGGACAACAGTGTGGAATATAATGGAAAGAAACATATTCCTCCAGCATCATAATCATAAACTTAAAAGACTTGCTCTCTTTGGAATGGACCAAAACTTCCAAGGTGTTTATCATCATCATGGGTGCCAAATATCAGTTAGGAAATAGGAGGAAGATCACTTCAATACTCCCTACGCTATATGCATTTTGGCAATCTCTAAAATGGTTTCAAAGATCAGCCAAATTAATTATAGAATCATTAGAGTAATAGATATCTAACCGCTCGGTTTCGGGATCAGCTTCGAAACTGGAATGATGTTGTTCTGAACTGGCTCTCTCCAGGGACTCCGCTAAATCTGCTTCCCATAAACCCAACCTACACACCCTCTTGTAAGTTTCATAACCTGTTGCTTTTAGGCCTTCAGATACCATATCTTTTAAACATCCCACAATGCCATCGCTGTTTATTGCATCAAGGAACGCCTCAGATAAGCCAGGTTGCCAGAATACGACGATGGCGCATTTCTTGTCCACGAACCGGACATCAAACTCTTCACAGAAAACTTCATGGGATCCTTCAAGTGCAGTTTTCATCGACTGAGCAGTCATCCCGTCTCTAAATCCCCACAAGAAAACCAAATGCCTACAGCTAACCTTTCTAACGTTCTTCGTCGAGATCTTGATGTCCTCATCCTCAGATTCGTGGTGGTCGGGGGAGAATGAACCAAAAACATTTGCACACCCATCAAGCTTTGAGGCCAAACAATTGTTGTTGGATTGGACGCCACCAAGATCAATTTTAAGTACAGAGCAGGCTTTTGCAAACAAATGGCATAACAGTATAGCGTTGTGCCCATGAAACTTGCGATCATTTCCTGTAGCTGCAATAGAACACAGTATAAGGTTCGCATTAAGATTTCTGCTTGAGGGATCATGATCATGATCATGATCAATGCTCTTAGAGATGCAGGGCTTGAAACTACTGTAAAATAGATAAAGATAAAACATTGACAGGTTTCTTTTCATGGATTGGTAAGACAAACGACATTTAAAAATTAAAATTAAAGAACTAATAACAAAACAGAATAAAAACCGAAGCATAACAAAAGGTTTAATGATGTGTATCCATGAAGAAATGAATGAAAACATGAAAAAAGTGGGTTAACTTACAAATTTAATCCTCGTTTGTTTCTATTTGGTTCTTGAACTTTCAAAACGACAAACTTGGTCCCTAAACTTTGATATTTTTCAAAATCCACGTATCTAATAAATACAAATCGAAAGTTTAGAGTTTCATTAGACAATAAGTTCACAATTTATATGATCAATTAATTTTTTTAAATTTCAAATTTGTTAGGTACCTTCTAGACTTGAGAGTAAAAGTTTAGGGACCTCAAAGTTGAGAGACTAAACTTATAATTTAACCAATAATTTAACCAAGTAAAAAAGGATGTGGACAGGGTGACAAACCTTCAACTGGAATGTCCAAATCAATAGGTGCAAAATAATGATTCTTCAAGTAAGAAAGAGCTGAAGCTATACTGATTGGCTTGCTGAGGCCACCGATCTTGCTGATCAAATGCTTTACATCAAGCACTCTTGGGAAAACCAAATGCAAAGAGGACGCAAACTCATCCATACCAGTAGGTAGGGGAGCAAGGAATTTAGAATGAATAAATGCAAAATCTGCATCCAAAAAGAAAGCATTAGAATAAAAACTAGAGAACAAAAGAAAAATAAAGCAAAGAGATCAACAAAAAGTAAAGAATATATGAGATAAACACCATTAAGAGAATTGTAGGAGAGAATAGGCTTCTGTGAAGCAGAAATGATATCTACCACCTCTCGAAAACCACGAAATTTCTTGTTTTCTTCCTCTTCAAGATTTTGAAGCTCCTTCTGAACAGTGAACAAAATATCATTCAGTTAAACCATCAGTCTAATACATCGAACCACAGACTTTCAATTTTTTGGAAATTAAAACCTTATTTCCATTATGAACCATTTCTTCATCTTAGTTTTAAAAAATAAGACATTTTTAATAATGCCATTGGATAGGTGGGTTGAAAGTGATGAAAAAATCAACTGAAGTACATAAACTTCTTCAAAGAGCTAGCTAAAGAATCAATAGTTTAGGAACTTAGAAAGTGGAAATCCAGTGAAATATGTACTGGTACCTCAAGAAGAATCTTGTCTTCTTTTGAGCTCGTCAAAATGGCACGAATTGCTTGAGTTCCTCCACCCTTAGCTGGATTTACTACAGGAACCAGGTCATCAGAAAACTCACTCAACAGCTACATCAAATAGAAAAAGGAATATAAGTCTACATATAAACCCTCCCTACAGAAAAAGTAGCAAAGATAAGTATATTGTTCTGCTAGCAGGAGTCTAGATCACTACCACATTTAAAATGATAACACTGAGGTTAAATTTGAATTCCTATACTCACTCTTAAATTTAGATATCTCAGAGTGTTTTTTCCCATGATAAGAAACAACTTTCATTACAAGGTATAGTCATTTCAGAAATGACATTATAGCTTTTGCTTGGTTCATTGTTGTGTAACAACAGCAATACACATTTTAAAATCACTCATAAGATGAAAAGATCAAGTTACCTCTAAAACAAGTAGAACTTGACGTTCACTACAAACATCTATAGTCATGGATGGCCTTGATCCATACTGCTCGCTGCCAATGATGAGCTTTTTCAACGAACTTAGCAGAGCGTCTATATTATGGAAACATTACCTTTACTATTTCAGGAGACAAGGAAATAAAAAGAGGTTAAAAAACACTTTTAGTCCATGAACTTTCATAAAAGTAAGGATTTAATTCTTGGACTCTAGGTTGTAACAATTTAACACCTACTACAAAAATCTCATCATATTAAATGCTAATTTTTATTAGGAAACAATTATTCTCTATAGTTTATGAACATATTTGTTTACAATATCACAATCTACAGAGGGACGAAAACTCATTAAATTTTAACAATATTTTTCATTATAGAGAAAATTTAAAGCACAATATAGGGGATGAGTTGTTGTATGCTAGAGTCCAAGGACTAAATTTTTACAGGTTTGAAAGAATATGGATCAAATCGTTTCAAACTAAGGTTCAGGGATTATAGCTTTCATAAAAGTTCAAGGACCAAAAGTGTTCTTTAACCTAAATATTTTTAAAATGTGACTGCAAAATGGGGAAAAAAAAAGCGGAATTAAAAGATCATGAAGAAATTGTTTTAGAAAGCAATAGTAGGCCGTAACTTACCATTTGTTTTTGTGCTTGAATTACATGCATCTTTCCAGTTCTTTACCCGTGATTTAACCCGTTGAACAAAAACTGAATCAGCAATTGTCTGTCTAGAAGAAGATTTCACAGCATAAGTACTAGGTGTTAGAAATGAACGGCCTATTCGAACTTTTGCTATAGACTCTTGAGCTCTAGATAAGTATGATATGCCTGAAACCAACAAGAGGAGAAAATTTTTAGGTTGATAAAAATTACCAGAAACAAAAAGGTCTTCAGCAACCCACTAACAAAAACTTGCAAGGCTGGCGTTCAATTGTATAATTTCTATATGAGCCATATGAATCTCAAAACAAGACGGGTGTGTATAACCCTTCTAGATATAGGGAGAGATGATTTTTTGGAAGCGTTGGGTGGCCTTTTCAGCATTTTTTTCTACCTACCTTGGGAACTTAGTTTTAGAGACTTGGGAACTTAATTTCTTCTCTTGAGCTGGATAATGGAAACAGAACTTCAAGGGACAGTGAGATTGAGAAAGAAATTATGGATTTTTTTTTCTTCCCTGTGAATTCCCCTCAAAATCATCCTTTGCTCTTGTTGAAACCTTGCAACGAAGGTGGTTTAGAGACTGGAAATCTGGGTTGCAAAATTACTCTTCTATAAATAGCTATGGTGTCTGTCGCAAATCTCAAGTCTTGAGGTCAGTGAGTGAGAAACCGAAGTAAATAGTCCACAATAAGGCTTACCATCATATATGCAAGCATCAAAGTCAAAACCTTCACGAGCCATGGATGTTAGATGTGAAACTTGACATGAAAAACTGTAAGAAGGCATCCCAATGTTCAGATCATCTCTGGGGAACAAATGAAAGTTGTACCTATACCATTGAAGGAAACGTAGCTGATCAGTGACGGCAGGGACACACATGAAATAGAACGCTAGAGCTTTGATCTGACAGCCGTAATTCACAGGCAAAAAACACGAATTACAGATGGTACTGCCATGACCTAAGATGCAAGTAACAGGAAGGCATGTATCATGCAAAATAATTATAAGCAATCAAATTTGTATCACTCATCAAACAAGAGGCCTCGAGTTTAGAATTTCAACTAATGATGAACAGGCAACCCATAAGCAAAAACCATTGTCCAAACATCAGCCAGAAGGCATCAAATTTCCCATTACCACCTTCCATTACAAATTCTACCCATATGACAATAATGAAAAAGATTGACTACAAATCCCTACTCTAGATTCCAATGAAAGAAATATCGTTCAATTCCAATTTCCATGCTCGCTTTCAACATCAACTACGTATCAAGAAGCATCCAAATCCATACCAAGTAAAGAAAAACGAAATCAGTAATATAAAGAAACTCCCAATCCCCGACCCCCGCCCCAACGTACAAACGAAGAGAAGCGGCGGCGGGACTTACGGATGAGCGATTAGCTTGGATTCCCTAACAGAGAAGGGGCATAGAGCGAATTGAAGGATCTGAAACTTCTCGGCGGCGTACTTGGCCTTGCAATAGGCGGTATCGTAGGTGTCGAAGGACTGAAGGCGGTGCCAAGGAAAGGAAGAAGAACCGGTGTTCTGCAAAGAGAGGGCGATGAAGTCGGAGTCGGAGATGTGGTTCTTCAGGTCCCCCAAGCAGCCATAGAAGTCGGTGTTGCGAATTTGCCTAACGCTTAGTTGATTGGTGGCAGTATGCAGGCGGCGCCTCTGCAACCGGAGGGATGAGAACCGAGACGCCATAGTTTCCCGTTACGCTCTCATTCAAAATTCACGGTGGAAGTGCCCAAATGAGTTTTACTTCTCTAGTATAAATGCCGAGCCGTGGTTGTTATAATAATAATAATAATAATAATAATAATAATAATAATAAATAAATAAATAAAAATATCTCTAAGTTAGAATATTACTCTTTTTTTATTTTTATTTTTTTTTAATAAACATTCACGCCGGTTCCTCCTCCACCGCCGTCGCCGCTGTCTTTCTTCCCTGCCGGCTCCTCCTCCTGTTGAGCAGCTCAGTGTCGCCGCCGTCGCCGTCGTCTTTCTTCCGTGCTTTCTGCTGCCGTGTTACTCTTAGCGGCTCGCACCGATTTCTCGTTGTTACTGGTAAAAAAAAGAAGGTTTAAAAATTTTGGCTAGAGGGCAATTTAGTAATTTGACCATATATTTGTAGCTAAGTTTCTTTCGCTTCCGCGTTGAATCATAACACCAATTTCTCTCCCTCGCCGTCGCCGTCTTCTCCCGCTCTTTTTGATTTTCCTGCATTTTCCCACTAATTCGGTCTCATGATCAAGCTTCAATATCAGAAGGTTTAAGTGTTTTAATCATCTTCTGTTTTATTGGTGAGCTTTCATTTACTTTTCCCCTAAAAATTTGAGATTCTTTTTGCTTTCCCTTTTGTTTTCTCCGTTTTTTGATGTTTGAATTTGCTTATCGTTTCTCTTTGTTCCCAAAATTTGTTACTTCTTCTCTGGAGTTGGAAGGTTTTCGGTTTCTTCGTACTATTTTGTGGAGGAGGAAGTAAACCCAGTTTATTTTGCTGGATACTGTTTTTTTTTTTGGTGTAATTTTGCTTGAATGTTTGGGTTGACTTGATTTGGTCAAAGAGAAGATCGTCCTTGTGGCGGCTTGAAATTTATTTTTGTTATTTCAGGCTGAAATTGTGGTTGATTCTTCTTTCAATGGAATCTTGGTTGCCATTGAGAGGTTTTTTGCTCGAACTATTATAGCTTTTGCATTTGAAGACACAATTTCAGAACTTACTTTAATTAGAGAAAAAGCAAATATGAAGGATACGGTTTTTCGGGGAAATTTCTGTGTAGACATTTCTTTGGGTCAGTGTTTGTTTTTGTCGATTCCCTCGACGTTTAGGCCTCCCTTTTGTGTCTGTGTATGAGAGATCTCATTAGTTATCCTTGCTGGGTATTTTTTGGTATATTTATCTTGTTTCTCATTGTTTTTAGAGATCACGTTTTGCTGAATGATTTATTTTCGAATGTCTTTTCTATTGATGAACTTCTTGGCAATTGAGCTGCTATCAGTTTCAATTGGTTTGCTTTTCTGGATGCTCTGATTTTGTAGGATCTCTCGTTTTAATTCTCTATTTCTCAATCTTTCTCTTTCTTTTTTCTATTTTCTGGGTCTCACAGTTTAATTCAGACATATTTTTGTAAGAGTGGTGTGTTCTTTTCAACAACTGAAGCAGATTTTTCATTTTTCTTTTCTACATGTAGTACGTGATCATTTGTTTGTTTGTTTGTTTGTTTGTTTGTTTGTTTGTTTGTTTTTTTTTTTTTTTTACCAATCTTGCCTCTCTCTCCCTCACAGTGTTTATGGGCCAGTCTGACTTACTGAATTTGCTATTCGCGGTGGGTGTTTGGTGTTCTGCATATATTGTTGTTGCAGTTCTTGCATCATTGCGGATCATCTCCTGTCTTTGTCCGCTTTAAACTTGGGAGACAACTAGAAAGCTGCCATGGGATACGCACAACTAGTTATAGGCCCTGCCGGCAGTGGAAAGGTGATGGATCAAGTGCTTTGTTCAACTATTCATACATTTTTACTTGTTTTCTGCTTTATTATATTATTGACCTTAAAAATTAGCATCTAGCATTTTCATGAATATATCGTAGCCTTTGAATTTACATTTCATGCATTATGAATAGTAATCAAACTATTAATGTCTGCTGTATTTTTTCAGTTGAGTATTGTTTGTTTATATATGCTCCTAGACGAATCCAAAAACGTAAAATTTCATTATTGTATGCTTATTAATCAGCTGGTTTATTAAAGCATATGACCTTGTTCAAGAGGGTAGAGGTTTGAATCCACTTACCCTGCTTGTTTTGTTTTTTCATAAGAGACAATTTCATTGATGTTTGAAATTTATAAAAGGGATGTGTTGTTCATGATGCTTACAAAGGTTGGAAGCAAAATTATTAGATAATTTACACCAAAAAAAGACAAGGTATACAACATTTTCAAAAAGCCTAGCATAAGTATGTATCTTCTTTGTGAATATTTTTTGATTTCTTTCTTTGCATAAATTCCAAAAGAAAGTCGTAATGAGGTTTGTCCATGTCAAAGTCTTTGCATTGTTGAAGGTGTGGTATGTTAAGACCATGTTCAATAGCTCCTTTATCTCCCTAGGAAAAAAGTTGGTTTTGGGATTTATTTTCTTTCTTGCATAAAGGGTGCCATTTTGGAAATAGTTCACTCTGTTTCTTGGCTGTAGTGGGTTCCTTTTTTCTTTTTCTTTTTTTCTGGATGGAATGGCCATGATGCACACGTGTTGTTCTCTTAGCCATGGTGTCAAGATTGAGATGGCCGTTGTTGCCCGTTGGTGTGAGTTTCCCTGAAATCAGAGGGACTCCTTTTGCCTCTGGTTCATTTTGCTCTTACCTCCACTTGTTGAACTAAAAACAACATGAGGATGCGGCTGTATATCTCAAGGAATAGTAGCTATTTTCATATTCATTATTCAATATTGACTCCGAACCATTTTGAGTTTACAAAAGATAATTCTAATCTCATCTGTGAGTCTAAAATGGTAGTTACTTTTAACTAACTTCGGTGAAATTTTTACCTGAATCAGTCAACCTACTGCTCTAGTTTGTACCAACACTGTGAGACAGTTGGCCGAACTATGCATGTTGTGAATCTTGACCCTGCTGCTGAACATTTTGACTATCCTGTAGCCATGGGTAGGTGTATATTACGTTTGATGATCTTATGAATTCAAATGATCAATTCGCCGGTCTTAAGTGATTAATATTGCATGCTGACAGATATTAGGGAGCTCATTTCGTTGGATGATGTTATGGAGGAGCTTGGACTTGGTCCTAATGGTGGCCTTCTGTACTGCATGGAGTATCCTTAAGTGATTATGCCCTTTTCATGAAGTTGTGGGATTCAGTCGCTCTAAATTTTGAGTCTATTTTATTTGTGGGCCAAAATTTAAAGAGTGTGCGTGTGCTTAACACTTTATGAATTTCCTTAATCTTATTATTAGACATCTTGAGGAAAATCTAGATGATTGGTTGACAGCAGAATTGGATAACTACATGGATGATGATTATTTAGTTTTCGACTGCCCAGGTTTGCATACTCTCTAGCGTTTGCATGTGCATATTGACAGACGACTATAATTTGTATGAGGATAAAACTATCTTCAAAAAATAGTTTCTTTTTCGAGTTGGAATTGTGTATTGAATATCATCATTTTTATCATGTGTATTGAATATTATCATTTTTATTACTACGTAGGTCAGATAGAGCTCTTTTCCCATGTTCCGGTTCTTAAAAACTTTGTGGAGCATTTAAAGAGAAAAAATTTCAATGTCTGTGCTGTGTATTTGCTTGATTCTCAGGTTTGTAAATTCAAAGTTCTCTTTCTTATCTATCGCCCCAATAATGTTGTGGCCTATTCTTTACTCGTATACTGACAATTGCCCTATTTGTCAGTTCATGACAGACATCACAAAGTTTATCAGTGGTTGTATGGCATCTCTTTCAGCAATGGTCCAACTTGAATTACCGCATATTAACATCCTCTCCAAAATGGATCTTGTGACCAACAAAAAGGATATTGATGAGTATGTATCGCTATCACCATCTGCTTCTGTACTGGTTATTCCTTTGAGTTTTATCTTCATTGTTTATAAGTTTATAACTCTAATGCTTTAAACATTGTTTAAAAAAACTCTAGCTTCTTAAATCCGGAGCCTCAAGTTTTGTTGTCAGAGTTGAATCAACGTATGGCTCCACAGTTTTCAAAGCTAAATAAAGCTCTAATTGAACTGGTGAGCAGTTTACACCTTTTTCATACATTACTCAAGTTTCCGGTGCATGGTTGATAAGTTTTGTTTGCAGGCTACGCGAAAGAATTTTGTTGAATTATATGATAAGAATGTTATTGAAGTTTATTATTATTATTTTCATTCTCAAGGAGGGGTCTTTTTGGTGTGACAATTTCCTACAAAAGTACGTTTTAACTATTAATGATTTTATCTACTTTCATTTTTCCTCATGCAAACGTTTTGTACATATGACCTCTAACTCATTTTTTAGATTTTACATGATGTGGCTCGACTATGTGCCTATATCAAGTGAGATTTTTTCATGAACAAATGTGTTTGCAAGATGCAATCTTGCTATGAAATTTTCTTGAAGTCCTTAATGAAGGGCCATAACTGGCATGACAGTCCCACAGTCCCATGTGTTCTGGCTTTTGGTTATTGCGTGTTTCCTCAATTGCATTACTGGAAGTTGCACTTGGGTTGAACTACTTGAGTTTTAGTGATAAATATAACAATTATTCTTCTGTTGGGAAGGAATATGATGCTAAATCATGGTATTTGAAAAGATCATAAAAAATACTTTTAGTTTGTATTCTTGTTTATTTAATATTTTCAATTATGCTCTTTTGCAATGAGCTAAGAATGAGAATGCTGGTTTTGTACTTATTTACGTTTATTTATTAATTTAGGTGGACGATTATAACATGGTGAGTTTTGTGCCACTTGACTTGAGGAAAGAAAGCAGGTACTTTTTTAGTGTGCTCACTTGTTTTTATTTCAGTTCAACGAGACTATTTTTGTGGATACTTTGATAACGTTGTATATTTTCTAGTTGGAATTGAGCATTTTATTGCTACATTTGGTCTTCTGTTTACTTGTTTGTATCTATGGCTAGGTTGGTACACGACTTTCTATGACTTGTTATGGGTGTTTTGATGGTTGAAGTTTGTGCGATGTGATGTATTGGTTATTTCTAGAACATGTTTTAAACCTAGTCTTGTGGGGTTGATTTTACTGTTTATTCAAAGATAGAGTTCCATTGAACGGAATTGAAAGTTAGAGATTCTATTCCTCGCTCGGGTTAAAAATGAACGTTTTTTTTTCTTCTAAATTTTATCAGCTATGCAGTCCTTGGAGTGAATGACAGGAAGTTACTTTTTCCTGCTTATTGACTTGCTACTTTTTACCTTTGGCTTTTAGATGAGTTGATTTTCCTGTTGGACTCTTCAAATAAGGCAAATGGCTGATATTATCATTTTTGCTTGAACAGTATAAAATACGTGTTGGCTCAAATAGATAA